CCCCCGATACTACACTCGGCCGTCCTGAACTGACGTTCGCCCTCGAATGTCCTCAGTGCAACACAACTCAACATTTTAGGGCACACTCCCCCACACAGTGGCACACAGCCGAAACAACGCATTTTTGGGAGACGTGCAACCCTCAACATGTTTTCATCGCTCACCTCCTCCTGGCTTCGTGTAGCCGTAGATACCTCCATCCCGGACGAGCCCCCATTTGTAGGAACCTAGGGAAAAATATTGAGGGACCCAAACGGGAATCGAACCCGGGACCTTCGGCTTTGCGCGCTACCCTCTCTATTCTCCCGTGCCGGTTTCCTATTTTTGGGTATGGAGGCCCCGATACTACACTCGGCCATCCTGAACTGACATTCGTCCTCGAATATCCTAAAGTTCAACACCTCAACAACTCAATACCTTTCGGGTACACTCCCCCACACAGTGGTACACAGCCGAAACAACGCATTTTTGGGAGACGTGCAAACTCTCAACATGTTCTTCATCGCACAACTCCTGGCTTCGTGTAGCCGTAGATACCTCCATCCCGGACGAGCCCCCATTTGTAGGAACCCAACGGGAATCGAACCCGGGACCTTCGGCTTAGCAAGCCGAGGCTTTGCGCGCTACGCCAACCACTTCCTCTCTGTTCCCCCTTGTCGGTTTCCTATTTAGGTATGGTGGCCCTCCGATACTACAATAGTTCAAGTTTATTATACTTTGAGAAGAATATTTTGAAATATTTTATTCCTTCGTAGGTTTTTACTTTAATCGAAGATTTCGCTTAAATTTAATTGATATATTTTCGATACTGACCTGCAATTACCGACTCGAAACGTCCAAGAATAATTTGAGCAATTACAGTTACCGACGAAAATCTACTAAAATATCGTCAAATGGGAGCGTGTAGCATTCTTACGAATGGACGACGAATTAATTTGATTTTCGGGACGTGCAATTAAAATTCTGTCAGTTTTGTTGCAATTACGAACACTTACCGAGGGAAAATCTTCAATACTGACGATGGCCATTTTCCATCCTGCCGTAAATTCAATCCGCGCGGTGAATTTCACCGTGGAAAACTTGCCGGACTTAACGAGCATAAATCTCGACGCTAATATTTTTTAATATTAACAAACGCGTTCCGGCTTGTCAGCAATTAAAATCAACTATTTCCGCGAGCGGGAAAAAGAGTGGTTCGTTCGTTCAGCTTGTTTTTCAGAAATACACCACGAAAATCCGCACGCTATTGGCTACGTTGTGAAATATATCGTTCGTTAAACTTACGATATTTATTGTACACGAAAAATTGAAGGAAAATTACTGATTGACGTTTCAGTTAGTTGAAACAAACTCTTCCTGATAGATTCCTTTTTAAGTAATAAAAAACGAACATACTGATAAATATCTGGAAATCTTGGTTTACGACATACACTGCCGGCCAAAAGTTTGGAATCACCTCCCACTTTTCATCAATATTAAATCTGCTGTTAATTTTTTATAAATTTGAAGTTTATCTCAATTCTACATTTATTGAATTGATTCGAATGATAAAAAATTCTCAAAGTCGCTCGACTTTTTTCTGGAAATTTTTGTGTAAATTGCAATGCTCAGTGATTCCAAACGTTTGGCCGGTAGTGTAGTTCGCGAAGTCCTTCGAGTCAGTTCGACAAAACATTAATTGCTACTCAGACGTAGAAAAAGAAATTGCGAATGTTTCAAATGGTTTCGCGAAGTCCTTTGAGTGAGTTCGACAAAACATTAATTGCTACTCAGACGTAGAAAAAGAAATTGCGAATGTTTCAAATGGTAATTAACGTCGACACATTTTCCACTTGAAAATGAAATTCATTCTTTCATTGCGAGGAACCTCAAAAGAGAGTAAAGTGTGCTACCCTAAGTGCAGTGACATCAGTCGGTTTCACAATTCGAGAAATTAATTTAACACATTCCCTGCTGCAGAAAAAATATGAATTTTGGCAGAATTTTAAAACCAAGTTTGCAAATCATATCAAAATATTTGATTACAGAGAAATGTTAATATTGCAAAATTCCACTCATTTTCATCTACATTCCAGCATTTTTCCTTTGATCCTTGATTCCAAGAGTATTCCTTCACACTTAACAAAAGTTCCACTTCCAAACACTATCATTTGCAACATAAAACGTGTTTAATCAATTAAGATTTCAATATTTCTTCTGATTCGAAAATTAACGATATCTTCAAAAGTAAATTGAGATATTCGAATTCTCAACAACAGAAAATGTGTCGTTCGCAGTACAAACTCGAGGATACTTGGTTATCTCAACAGTAAAAGACGATTGTCACGCGTCATATAACATGCAAATCGTTTAGATTTCGACACTCACCCGTGTCCGTGCTTCCAGGTAGAAGAATGGCGTCGTCGCGGTTATCTCAAGAGTAAAATTGTCACGCGTCATATAACATGCAAATCGTTTAGATTTCGACACTCACCCGTGTCCGTGCTTCCAGGTAGAAGAATGGCGTCGTCGCGGAACCAGGAGGTGACTGTCAGGTGTTCTTTCACATCTTTGTGCGCGGAGCAAGATAAAACCGCGTTGCATCCCTCCACCACCGGGGATCTATTCACCATTACGTCGTAGCCAGGGACAGTCAGCACTGGAATCCGAACAGAGGATCTCGGTTAGAGCGTCGGACAACTGTAACCGGACCAGGCAAAGCGTAATTACGCGTTGCGTCAGCGCCTCTTTGAGATTTTTACATTAAAAAAAGAAAAAAAGAAGCTTCGTCTCTCTTCCCCTCCGGAGAGAGAAAAACGTGGAATCCTGTGTTCTTTTCTTTTCTGGGAGGAGGCAGGACTTTGTAGATGTGCAGGTGTGTGTGGTTGTTGGGTGTGAGTTGAGTTGAGGATAGTGAAGTCTTGATAGGTTTAGGGTTTCTTTCTTCTGTGGAATTGGAGAGCTTGAGGAAGGGCTTGGGTAAGGGTCGAGTTATTGATTCGTTTCTGGGTGTGTTTCCTTGGAGTTCTTTTAAATTTCCTGGGTAAAATGGTGCTGCGAAGGTTGTATAGTGATTAATAATTTGCTTAAGGAATACGATCGATATTCCCACTTATTTTACTTTAAATATTACAACTACTGAAAAATTTGTAACAAATTGCATTTTAGAAGATTCTTTCACCTTAAATACTATGTTAGTTTAAACAGTGTTAATAAATAACATTTGACAAAATATGATCAATTTCTAACAAATATCGTTTAAATAAAAAAATAAAATTCCTAACAAGTATCATTTTAAAAAATACAATTAATATTATACAATCTAAATATGAACACTATTTTTTCCACCTTAAATACTACACTAACTCAAAGATTTCTAACAAACAAAATTTAAAAAAGTATGATCAATCCTTAACGAATATCGTTTCAATAAAGAAGTGCATAAAATTCCTCGCAAATATCAAAGAACACAAGCAATATCAGGGGGAGTTCCCCCAGCGCCGGACACTTAAGGTTTTCCTTAAATAAATCTCTCTACCTGTGCACACGCGACTGAAACGCGTAGAAAACTTATTTTCATTCCCCTTGTCTCCTCTAGGAGATACGCAGAATAACGGCTCCGTAGCGTTTCAATTATTGCAGATATAACCAATGTCCGATATTAGGTGCCGTCCGGCGTTAAGGGAACTCCCCCTATGCCTTTCGAGAGCTGTATTTAGTGGCACTTGTTTTCTCAAAATTTTCTTCGTAGAACTTAAAAAAAAGTCAATTTCTTAGAACTGCATATCGAGAAAGTAAGTTTCCTTAGAAATAAGAAAAATATAATTTTCCTTGCTACATTCTAATTGGTACATGTATGTACATACAAATTTCCCAGAAACAAGATAAAATAAAGTATTCGATATTTTGAATCCAAATGTATGAGATAATCTCAATACCTTTCGTTAGATATTCGAAAGTGTACAGATATTACTATTGTTCCCTAGAAAGATACTATTATCGGCACCCAGAATTTTCTTGCATTCCAATTTATCTAACAGGTAAATTGAATTTACTTTAAAGACGTTCTACGGAAGAATTACGAAGTGACGTTCGATGTTTATTTAAGGTCCAAGATGGACAGTTATCAAGGCATTCCTCAGATCCCATGGGGCGGCCATTCCCCGATCTCATCCCTGTATCACCAACAGCAGCAGCAAGGTATCCAGGAGTACAAATCGGAGTGCAATCGTTTCCGGGACCGAGAGCTTATTCGTGCGTGCCGAGGACTTCGGCGCGACAAAATGGCGTGTTGGGGAGTTTGACGCGTGCTACAGCGAAGGAAGCTGACTTTGGAATGATTTGGAGGTAGGTGAAATAGGTGGAACTGATTGCTGGGAGGATTAGTTTGGTTGGATAGTTGTTTAGTTATTTTCGTGGATGTGAGTCTAATCGGTGGAGTGGAAAATGTTAAAGGATTAATAAAACAAACATCGACAAGACGCTGAGAAGAAACAACATATCTAAACAGACGGCTACTATGTTATTTTTCTATAAATGTTTATATTAATCTGTCTCAGTATGTTGATCATTTCTGCTGTTACTATTACACAGACACACGCTCATTTCTCCTAATAACCCAACAGTCATTAACAACGCAGGCAGAGAGCGGAGAAAATATCGACAGTTTCCTATAAAAGAAACACGAAAGAAGAGAAAAATTAATCGACACACTTTCACTTCAATTTATCCCTTAAATTTTGCCCATTGCTTACTTCCATCTCAATTTAGTAAAATGACGAAGTTTCAAATTTTTTAAAATTTGAGAAATTTCTGAGAAAGAAGTTGAAGGAGGTTCTGACTCAGTATCTCCTAAATGAAGAGAAAAATTGACGACCCAATGTGACACGGTTATCATTATCGTGACTATTTCAAAGGGAACCAATCTACAATGCAAAATAACGTTTTATCAACAAAGTTTCACGACGCTACTTTAGGCATTTCATTCTTCCTACTTTTCTCTTCACCGTGCAACTCCAAACACGCCATTTTCTTCGTCAAACAGCTTACAATTATAGCGATCTTTGATTACTCTGCGCGCCTTAGTAAACATTTCCCTGTAGATTCGTTCGGTTTCCGTGGAGAAAATAAAGGAGGAACGTTTGTCGAGGTATAAATTCCCTCGCGGAGATAAGATTAGCGTCGTATCCGGAAATTCATTTTCAGCTCCAGCAGTTCCGTCGCTGCTCCATTTATTCCCAGATCTGACAGGTAGCTACGATATTGCTCTTAATAGCACTGTCAAGTCGGGCGTCACGCTGTTACGCGTCTCATTTCGGAGGCACAATTTAAGTATTAAACGTAACGCGTTTAAGTCACTTCTTCCCTGCTCCTGACATTCGAAAATTTCGCAATAACACGCCTCTCTCCTCCTAACCTAGTGAACCGTCAAAGAAAACGCTGTTGCTTGCCGGTAAACACCATACTTTGAACGGATTAAATTGTTTCCTTGGAAAGTTCTTGTGAAATTGTTAATTCGAAGAAATTTGGATTTTTCGAAAATTTAAAAAAGGAAATATTCTGCGTGGAATGTTCTTTGATCAAATTTTAAATTGTCAATTTGAAATGGTGTGAATTGGAAAAATTTATTTCTCAGAGAATTTTATCGAGATTTTAGGAAAATTTGCGAAAGTATTATTTTAGTAAATTTCAAGAAATTTTTCTGAAGTTGTGTTATCTTAGGAATATCGAGAGGAAGAAATTTTCCACTTGGAGATATACTTGTCTCTTTAACTGTTTCATAAGTTGTTTAAATAACGTCGATATCAATTTTTCTTCAATGCTAGCTTTACAAATATTTAGGCATTACTCGTTGTGCAATTTCTTTACGAGTCGTTACCGAAGGAAAGTTTACACTGTCGACGTTTCCGTCCTGAGTTATTATTCCATTACACTGCCCTGTAAAAAGAGTGTCTGTGCATTGGAACGTAAACGAGGGAAACGAAATTGAGAGGGTGGAAGAGGGACGAACATTATCGGAGGGCGATAACGTAGCTAAATTGAAGAGAAAATGAGAAGAATCGTCGGAGCCAAGGAAATCTTCAGTTTTTCGCCTTAAATTGATTCATTTCAATAGAAAAATACTCCTTCCCCTAGTTTTCCCCTTTTTTACACAAAAATATTCAACTTTTGACATATTACATGTGTATTTAAATTTTTATCTAGTATCATTGGCCTACTTCCTTTTCACTTTTTGGAATATTATTATTCTACAATCCTCCTCCTTCGGAATATGAAATTTCAAATTTCCTCATTCAACTTTGAAACTTTCAATTTCCACGTAATACTTTTCTAGGAAACTTAAATTTGCCTTTTAGAGCTCCTCAATTTACAATAATTAAAAATCTTAAAGCAGAGGTACAGAATTAACCACGAAATCCAAAAGATTCCCAAAATCCTCGTACAGCAAATTTTCAATCACGATAATCACGCGCAACGCTTCCAAAACTCCCAAAAATTCAAAAACCAAGCATCTCTGATTCACGCCCTTCGGATCCTTCCAAACTGCAACAGCAGTAATTCAGAAAACGCAGAAAATCAGAAAGAGACGAAACCTGGTGAGTACACAACGGAACCATCGAACGGTTCCAATTATCGAGAAGAGAAACGAATCCTCTAAGTGAATAGTACAAGAAAACTGGCACTCTGGAAATTGAAAATGGGCCACCGACGTGTAGAAAGGTGTGGGAAAATTCGTAGGAAGCATCGAGTCGAGTGCTCCGACGGAGACGTGAAAAAATTAGGAAGCCACTTGGAGGAGCTGGCAAATACCTGGATGACGATCAAATTCCACAGGCCCGAACGATGGGGTGAACGAAACGAAACGTGCAAACGAGGCCAATATGCGCAGATCTCCAGCGAACCGGGCAACGATATTTCCCGTGGATTCGCACCCACCAGCCCCGGGATTAAGTTTCTTTTCGATTCACCTCGATATCGCGCTCTCCAACCTGCCACGTCGATTTCTCCCACGGCAAATCGACGTATTCTGCACCGAGGACAGATGGATCACCCCTTGAACTTCCAGGGGAAACTTTTTCACATATTTTTTTCTCTTCTATTTGTTTCCTTCTTTTTTGGCTCTTGTGTCGTTAAAACGATTGTTCTGTGAAGTTTTATCGATTGAAGTGTGACGCACGGGTCTTGGATGGGAGTTTTCGTTCGGTTTTATTGCTGCAGCGTTTTGGGCGCAGGATTAGATTTATTTTCCGTTGTGTTTCGAGTGAATGGTTTTCGAAAATATTTGAGGATTGTTTTAAGTTAAGGAAATTGCGGAAGTTTTTGTTTGCGAGGGATGTGGTAATTGTTTTGGAAGTTTGTGGGTTTCTGGAGTGAAGCAAAATGGTGTTTGACTATATTTGGGATTTTTTTACGTGAAAGAAATTAGAAATTTGCGTTCGTGGGGTGTTTATTCATTTTTCTGAAAATTCGAGAGTTCCTGGAACGAAGCAGTGGTTTTTTCAAACACTTCTCACTTGTTTATATAAAAGAAAATTAAATTCTCCGTTTGTGAAGTTTTTATGAAGAATCAATTAATTTGAAGAATCAATTTGTGAAGAATCAATTAATTACCCGTTCGTTCTCTTTTCACCGAGAGAGGCTCGCTGTCGGAGGTCATCA